ATGTATAAGCTATATCAAATTGCTTGTCTTCTCAATGAGGGTGTTGGGGAGGGAGGAAGGGAGAAAATTTGGAACCCAAAGTTTTAAAAACAAATGTAAAAAGTTGTTTTTACATGCAACTGGGAAATAAGATATATGGGCAATGGGGTATAGAAATCTATCCTTTTCTACAGGACAATAGAAGGGGAAGGGGATAAGAGAAGTGGGGGGTGCGTTATAGAAGAGAGGGCAGATTAGGGGTAGGGGTATTCAGAATGCACACCATCTTGGGGTGGGAGAGGGGTGAGATGGGGAGAAAATTTGGAACTCAAAATCTTGTGGGAGTAAATGTTGAAAACCAAAGTAAATTGATTAATAAAAAATTTTTTTTAAAAAATAATACATTTCCCATCCATAGCTGACTGATCTCTTTCTAACCCTAAATGTGATGTTTCTCTTCTAAAAATTTTTTTATAGTAAGATCTTTAATATGAAGATTGAATATCCATTCAGAATGTGTTGTGGAATATGATGTAAGAGGTTGGGCTATACCTAATAGCCCAATAGACAGACTGCTTTCCAGTTTTTAGCAAATAAGGAGTTTTTTTCCTGGTCAATTTATATTTTCCACTTTATCAAACACTGGGTTATTGGATTATTTTGTTTTTTATTCTCTTTTATCCAGTCTGTTCCACTGATTTATCTCTCTATTCTTTAGCCAATGCCAGATGGTTTTTGTGATTGCTGTTTTATAATATATTTTGAGCTCTGGAAGTATTATTTCCCCTTCACCCATACTTCTTTTCATCATTTCACTTAATATTCTAGTTATTATGAAGTATCTCCTTGGTAATTGGATTGAAATAGCATTAAAAGTATAAATTCATTTCGGTAGTATTATCATTTTTTTTGTATGGGCATGACCAAACTATGAACACTGAATATTTCTTCCAATTATTTAAGTTCTTATTTTATGCATTTGAGTTATTTGGAATAGAATTTCCCTTTCTATTATTGCTTCCTGTGTTTTGTTATTATTATAATGGAAATGGTGTTGGCTTTTGAGGATTGATTTTTGTAGCCTTCAATTTTCCTGAAGCTATTAAATTTTCAATTAGCATCATTGCTTACTCCATAGGATTTTCCAGTTATACCATCATATTATCACCAGAAAGGCACAGTTTTATCTCTTCTTTCAAAAGGAGGAGTAAGTAGTGAGGGGAACTGTTAATCTGGCTTTGATTCTCATCAGTAAGGAGGGACTGGTTGCTAAAATATAAATGATGGTGACCAGTCCATCTTAGAATTTGTAATAGACATGGGGAGTTAAGTTGGGCATAATCTTCCATAAACAGTAGATATAGTCATAAATATTTCAGAGAAAGGATAATTAGAATTCCCATGGACTAAAATTCTAAAAGGGAAGTTAACCAGAAAAATTTATTTACTGCATTTATTTACTTTTCTGTATTTCTCTTGTTTGGAGTGTTCAAGGAGCAAATAATATCTTCAGTTCTGATTTTCTTTCTAAACATGCTTCAAACACCTCTTTATTATTTGTCCATCTTTTCTCATTTATGATTAAGCTCAGATTTGCAGGGTAGGTCACCCTGGGCTGCATCCTGAGCTCCATTGCTCTTTGGAACACATTATTCCATTCCTTCCTATGTTTTCTGGTAAGTATAGAATGGTCTTGCATTATTCAAATTTCCTTTCTTTGTATTTGAAGGTCTTTTCTCCTGATCACTTAACAGAACTTGTTATTTCTGAATTGTTAAATTTAACCACTGTTGGTAAATTTAAAACCACTTTCTTCTGGAGTTAATTTATGAAGTCTTTCAATTTGTATTTCATTTTCTATGTTCAGAAGTTCTGGGCAGTACGTGTTCTTTTGTTATTTTCTGCAGTATGTTGTTAAGGATTTTTATCCTGTAATGTTCTTCTGGGAAACCTATGATTGTTGTCTCTCGTTATCCTGTCTATGAGATCACTGTCTTGCTTGTATAGTGGGCATATTTTCTTTTAATGTTATTGTTTTTTACTTCCCTTCTTGATTGTCCTTTACTTCTGTATATTCGCACTTCCACTTTTGTTTCTCTGGTGAGATTCTGATTTGTCTCTTTTGTTCATTCTTTTTACTGTGCAGGACAAATATTCTGCTTTTATTATTCTCATTTAAACCACTCAGGAGCGATGTGTTGTGGTTCCAAGTTCTCCTAAAATTCCTCAAATGGACTTCAAAAATAAAGAGGTGTTTAAAACATTTTTTTTAGGAAGAAAACCAGAACACCCCAAATAAAAGAAACATAGAAGAATAAATAAATCCCTCTGGATGACTTCCATTTTAGAATTTTAATCATGGAATCCTAATTATCCTTTCTCTGAAATAGTTATGCCAATATGTAACATGGCAGATTATGCCCAACTTAACACCTCAGATCTGTTACAAATTCTAAGATGAAGTGACCCTCTGTTTTACCAAATATTGGATCAATATTATCAAGTATTTTGCAGTATTTATTTGTGGGTGCTTGAACTTTGTTTATTAAATCTGGGGGTCATTATTTCCTTCTATTTTTAATATTTTTTCTTTATTTGTTTATGTTCAAGGTCTTATGGGTTTTTTTCCTCCCTGAAATCGTTGGTAATTTTGGAATTTTTTTTCCTCCTCATTTTCCCCTGTTGCACATTTTCTGATTCTGTCTTCTTTGATGGTGGTTTCCTTTGGGACCGATTCTCAAAGCCTTTTCCCATGCTGGGCAATTCACAATTCACAAGCTTATGTCTCTGTTTCAAGTGACTTTTGAGGACAAATTGGCCCCAGCTGGAGGTTGAACTCTTTCCCTCAGGCTTAGTGGAATGTTGCACGGTGCCTCTCCCAACCCCCCACAATGTCCTGCCTCTGTGTTTCTCAGTTCTCTGGGCCAGCACTGGCAGTTCAGAGAAATGCCATGCTGATACTGTGAGCTATCCTCTCCAGTACCAGAAGTTCAGAGCTTTGCAGTGTTGGTGTTGTGGAGTTGTCTGCCATAGAGTTGTCAGCACCCAGCACACTTTTGCACCTGAGGGGAGCTTAGTATTGGCTGTTGTGAAGCAAGTTTTTTGCAGCCTGGAGCCAGGGTCTTCATGGCAACAGAAAGAGGGAATGGGGACCAGGATGTGGGGTTGAGTTTTGTTGCAAGCCTCGGTCCTTAGGTCTGCTAGTGCAGCTTTGCTGCAGTGAGAGGTGATGAGTGAGCTTAGTGTTAGATCGTGGGGTTTTTTTTTAACCTTCCTTTGAATTCTCAGTGTCTTAGACCATAGAGACAGCAGAAGTTGCTTTATCTTTGATTCATAATTTCTGTTTTGGAGGTCATGAGGATGAGAGAAATGTCTAGTCCTCTATCTTGTTCAATGGTTTCTTTGATCATATTTGCCCTTTTAGAATACCTATCACCATTCCAGGCTTAACTCAACCCCCTCTGGCATGAGCCCTTTCTTGATACCTGAAGTGTTAGCAACACCCAAAATTACTTTGTATCTACTTTGTATATATTGTATATGTTCAATTCAATTCAATACATATTTTTTAAAATTTCATATTATTTTTACTTTTTTCTATTTACATGTAAAAGTAATTTTTAACATTTGTTTTTTAAAATTTTAAGTTCCAAATTCTCTCTCTCCCTTTCTCCTTGTCCTCCCCCACCCCCCAAGCAAGGTCTTTCAGTTATTAATGCTTTCTCTCTCCTGGAACTTTTTTTGTATTTTTGTACTAATATTTACATAATTTACTTACTATGTGCCAGGCACTGTGCTGAGTGCTTTTACAATGATCTCATTTGATCATCGCAGCAACTCTGAGATATGGTGCTATTATTATCCTCATTTTATAGGTGGGGAAACTGAGTCAAACAGAGGTTAATTAATTTGCCCAGGATCACCCAGCTAGTAAGTGTCTAAAGTCAGATTTGAACTCAGGTCTCCCTGACTTCCTGACACTAGGCCCAGCACCCTGTCCACCATACCACCTCACTGCCTATTTCTGCTTACATGTTATATCTCCCCAGCAGAACACAAGCTCCTTGAGGATAGGGACTGTTTCATTTTTGTTTTGTGTGTCTAGCATCTAATTCAGTATTTTGCATAAGTATGTGTTTAATAAATGTCTATTGAATTGAATTCCTTTCAAAACTCAGACAGAAACCACATCTATATTATTTATTTTGTAGTGTAGGTGACCATAAATGACATGAATTTTTATCTCGTGAGGAAAAAACAAAAATACATAGCACAATTCCTAGATGGCACAATGCCGCCCTAAGCCAATCCTCTCATTTTACAGATGAGAAAACTGAGGCCCAGGGAGATTAAGTGACTTGCCCAAGATCACACAAGTAATAAGGATCAAATAGGAGATTTGAACTCATATCCTCTGACTCAGGAACCAGTGCTTTTTGCATCATCCCGTGCTGCTTCCCCTTGTGTTTCTCCTTTTTGGAAGCATCTTGGTTGGACAAGACAAAAACACAGCCTTTACAAGTCAGATACATCCATTTGTGCCCAGGGAAAGGAAATCAAAAATAAGCTAGAACTTAGCAGTAAGGCATCTTGCATGACAAAATCTAACCTTGGCACTGGATTACATGAATGTACCCATAGATATTTTCTATAGTACAAGCAAAAAGATTGACTGGGCATCAAAACTAATATGTCTTTGCTCAATTTCAAATTAGTAAGTCCATTTCAGTGAATTATCCATGCCATAATTGCTATCTACGTGAAATAAATTAGTTCAAGCCTACAAGACAACATGATCAAGACTAATTTATAAGTAGAATATGTGGTATCAGAAAAATAAATACATATTCTAGCTTAGACATCAAAAAGGAGAAAAAATCATGCAGCAGTGCCTCTTTGGTTAAAAACATGTACATTCAGGCTGTTAGGATCCTAGATTTATCAAGTAAGGTCCAAATATACTGCCCATTATCATCTTTTACCAAACTTTTCTCATGAATACATTTCTCTTTTGACTTCAGATGTGATGAATATGTTACCCAGTTGGATGAGATGCAAAGACAGTTAGCAGCTGCAGAAGATGAGAAGAAGACACTAAATTCACTCTTAAGAATGGCTATACAGCAAAAACTCGCCTTGACTCAGCGACTGGAGGATTTAGAGTTTGACCATGAGCAGTCCCGACGAAGCAAAGGCAAGCTTGGAAAGAGCAAGATCGGCAGCCCTAAAGTAAGTGGGGAGGCATCAGCCACCGTGCCCTCCATTGACACTTTCTTCCTGCATAGTCAGGGCTCACAGCCACCAAACATACTGGTCAGCAGTGGCACTCAGAGGAAAAGGTATGCATGCAGTAATCTTTACAGTATAGTGCAGTGGCCAGATTTAAGTTAAATCTATTCAAAGCAGCAATATTTTCTTGTTAGGGGAGGAAAGGGAGGGGAAGTAAGAAGGTGGGTGAATGTTCGGTAGTCGAAGTAAAAAGAAAATTCCTGATTATTATGTTTCTACATTTCTCCTTTGGCTAATCATAACATAATTTTTAACTGTCTTGTCAGTTTTTCTGGTTACTTCTTGTTTGCATGAATGTAACTTTCCTTCCCCAAAAAGAATTAAAAAGGAGAGAAATATGAGGCTCTATATGTGTTGGAACCCCAAAAGCAACATGTACAATAACTGAGCTACCTGGCTGTTTTCTTTTCTTTGAGACAAACATATGAACTTGTTCTTTTTGAAAACTTTTGTTCATATTGCTAAAAATGATGGCTGGCTAAAAGAGAATGTCTGTGTCTAGTTAAAATGGAGTAGATATTTTCAGTATTCAAGCAGTACATTTTTCTTCGCATGGTGAATTTTTCATCAAAAAAAATTTAATTGTGCATTACTTAGTGACTGGAATTTGTGACCCTCAGCCAGAGAGTCTTGAATGTATATTTTCAGTCACAGTAAAAAAAAAAATCCATTTTAGGGGTCATCAATACACCATCAAATGCTAGGAGTATCTTTGGAGACCCAACCTGACTACCTTGAAATAAATCTCTTCTTTGACCCAGAAGAGCTTATAAAACATGGTTGTATCCAGCACTGGAAACAAAAGAAGTTAGCAAAACGTGTTTTTCATGTTCAACAAATTAAATCACAATGAAAATGATGTTGTCACTCATAAGATATTGAAAGGTAATTAAAGTAAAACTCTTTTGTTTTCTGTATGTATTTTTCTTGGATCTCCTGCAAGACAATTTTCACCTTCCCTTTGTGATCAGAACCATCCCAGGACTTCAGGGGCTTTCTACCAACAGCATTTATTAAGAGTCCCCCCTGATCCCACCTCCACAGAATCCTTTCTTCTGAAGGGCCCCCCTTCCCTGAGTGAATTCATCCAAGGGTACCGGCTCAACAAGGAAAAAAGGTTAACTGTGGCCCCACCAGGTAAACATTTTTTCCTTGGGTGCATGTGATACGAATAATTAGTTGAATAGGCTAATTTCTCCTCCCATCCAAACATGCCCACTTTCACACATGCTCTGACTTAGATAAATCTTGAATCTCTCACCTTCAAAAGGACTACTTCATTGTAGTTTTGTGTTCCTTCTGTTTTGCTCATTGTCAAAGGAGAACTTCCAAAGTTCTAGAAGTCATTTTTAATAACTGAGGGTAGGAAATTATAGTTGGGAGAAAAAAATGGGTGTAAAAGGTGTGTCTTTTGCCACAGAATAGAGTTGGTCATAGAAATAATGTAGTATACATCAGTAGATAGTCTGGTAGCTAATGAGATAAAATTTTGGCATGTTATTTTTTGTGAAAATTCAATAATAGGATGCATCTAATCAAAAGCCCTTTTTGTTCCATATCCTTTTGTATTGAATCAAAAATTTTCCTCAAATGCTGACCAAAATCAAACTAAAATTCTAGAAAGCCATTTACTCTCCAGGCCACTTGGCTTGACAATGCTTTTCCCTTGGAAAACATAAAATTTTTTTTCAAGGCAAAGCCATTATTTGATTTAAGCCTACTAAAATACTCACAGCTGACTTTAAATTTCATAATTTTGAATTTTACTTTGAATATCTCTAAGGAAAAAGGGCCAAACAAGAACATGAATGAAAGTAATACTTCCCAGAAATCTGGAGAAATGAATAATATGGACATATTTTTAAAGGAATGTGTTGAATATAACTGAAATCAGCTACTTGATCAAGATGTCACTTTCTGATATCAGAAGGCTAAATCATTGTTATTACATTTTATAAGCATTGTTTAGGAGAAAGAGAATTAGATTTAGAGCAGAGAAGTTGGGTTCAAATCCCAGCTCTACCACTGTGACCTTGGGCAAGTCACTTCACCTCTCTAAACCCAATTTTCTCTTCTGTCAAATGAGGGGATTAAACTAGATGACCTTTAAGTCACATTCCATTTCTAAATTTTTGATCCTATGATGTCACTGATGTATAGTCCTCCAGTGGGAAAGAAGAAGAGATGTGATGCACCTGAAACAATGAAAGCATTGCTCTCTTATACAACAAAAAAATTGATTTGGACTTCTAAGGAAAATTAAACTCATGCGGAAATATTATTTTCAAATGACAACTTAAGCATTCTATACACCTTAATTGAGAAACTAATGAAAAGGTTAAAAGTATTTTATAGGATCATAAACTTCAGTATGAATTTATAAATAGGATCTAAGAAGTTGGAAGGGACACCAGATGCCATCAAATCCTACTGATACCTGAATAAGAACCCTGCTTCCCCTACAATAAACTTGATTAATGGTAATCCAGCCATTCCTTTAGTGAGGGAAAACTTACTCTGAAGGCAGTTCATTCAAAACCACAAATCATTAAGAAGTTTTTCCTTATATCAGGCTAAAATCTGCTTCTGTGTAACTTCCATCCATCCTTCCTTGTCCTGACTTCTGGGTCCAACAGAACAAGTCTAATCCCTCTTCCACATGACAGCCTTTCAAATACTTGAAGGTAGCTGTCATGTCCCCTTCAGGTTTTGTCCTTCAAGCTAAAAAAAGAAAACCTCCAATTTCTTTAGCTGATCTTCCTATGGCATGATCTTGAAGCTCTTTACCATCGTAGTTACCCTCCTCTTGATGCTCACCTGCTTATGCATCATCCTAAACTCAGAACTTTCCAGAACAGTACTCAGAACAGTACTCCAGATATGGTCTACTGAGGTGAAGTACACCAGGACTGAGCAGATTTTGTGTACTTTCCCTCCTATTCTGAAAGTTAAGCCTTTCTTTATGCAATTTAATAGAGCATATATTTTTGGAAGCCATATTATACCGCTGATTTCTAGTGAGCTTTTAGTATGCTAAAATACCTAGATATTTTTTATGCCAAACTGCTATCTAGCTATAACTCCCTCATCCTGAACTTGTGAAGTTGGTTTCCTAAACCAAAGATTTTATGTTTATTTCTATTACACTTTATTTCACTAGATTTGGCTCAGCTTTGTAGCCTATTAAGATCCCCTTTGGAGTCTGACCCTGGTACACAATATATATATACAGAGCTGGAAGGGACGTTAGACACTCCTTTACCCTAATTTTTTATAGGAGGAAACACGTGAGCTAACCCTCCTTGTGTACCATCTGCCAGTTTGATAGGTATGTTTTCTGTGCTTTTAGCGCTGGTTCTCTGGGGCACTTCACTATATCGGCAAGGTTGATATCTCTGCTTTTTAGTGTGCCGACCAGATTTGCCATAGCTTTTCTTCCAAAGAGCAAGCATCTTTTAATTTCATGGCTGCAGTCATTGTAGTGACCTTTTAGATACACAGTAAATATACAGTAACCTCTTGTTTGATAAACCTAAAGATCACAGCTATTGGGGCAAGAACTCGCTGTTCTACAAAAAAACTATTTGGAAAAATGGAAAGTAGTCTGGCAGAAACTAGTATAAACCAGTATCTCATACTGGACACCAGTATAATTTAAACATAAAAGGTGATGTAAGCAAATTAGAAGATCATGGAAGAAATTATCTGTCAGATTTATGGATAGGGGAGGAGTTCATGTCCAAACAAGAGACAGAGAGGTTCACAGGAAGTTAGATGGATAATTTTAATTACATAAAATGTAAAAGCTTGCACAAATAAAACCAGTAAAGCTAAAATTAAAAGAAAAGCAGGAAACTAGGGGAAAAATCTTTGCAGCAAGTTTATGTGGCAAAGGTATGTTTCTAAGATATATGGGGAACTGAGATACATTTATAAGAATAAAAGCTATTCCAACAATTCCACAATATTCCACTGGTCAAAGAATGTGAATATGCAGTTTTCAAAGAAAGAAACCCAAATTATCAATAGCCATATAAAAAAATGTTCTAAATCATAAATAATTAAAGAAATACAAATAAAGTAACTCTAAGGTACCACCTTATACCTACTAGATTGGCTAAGATGACAATAAAGGAAAATGACAAATTCTGGAGTGGGTGTGGGAAAACAGGTATACTAATGTACTTTTGTGAATCTGTGAACTATATGGTTCAACCATTCTGGAAAATAATTTGGAATTATGCCCAACAGCTATTAAACTGTCCTCTTTGACTCAGTAATACTGCTACTAGGTCTGTACCCCAGAGATCAAAGAAAAAGGAAAAAGATTCCTATGTTCAAAAATACTTATTTTTTTCTTTTCTTTTGTTCTTTTTGTGATTGCAAATGATTGGAGGCTGAGGGGATGGATGCCCACCAATTGGGGAATGAGTGAACAAAGTATGGTATATGAATGTGATGTAATACTGTTATCCTATAAGGAATAATAAAAGGGATGGTTTCAGAAAAACCTGAGAATTCTTGTATGAACTTATGTAAAGTGAAATGATCAGAACCGGGAAACCAATTCATACAATAAGAGCAATATTGTTAAGATAATAAATTTGGAAAGACTAAGGAACTTTTAACAAAATGACCAACCACAGTTCCAAAGAACTCCTGATGAAACATGCTAAACATTTAAGAGCTGATGAACTTAAGAGTACATATTGAAGCATTTTTTCTTTTTTGGATGTTGCTAATGTGGTTTTGTTTCACTTTATATAATTAAAATGAGTTTTGCTTTTCTTGCCTTCTCAGTAGGTTGGGGAGGAGATGAGAGAAAGTTCAGAATTGAAAACAAAACTGACTTTTTTAAAGGGGGGGCAGTGCTATAAATATTATAAATATAGTAGGACCTTCCTTTCTGTCTTTAACCTCTTTGGGGTATATGTGTAGCAGTGTCATCTCTCTTATATTATGGACATTTTGATCACTTTCTTAACATAATTCCAAATGGCTTCCTTCAGTTGTTGGACCAATTGACAGCTCCACCACAGTGGATCAATATAACTATCTTACCACAACCCTCCAACACTATTACTTTCTTTTGTCATCTTTGCCAATTTGCTAGAAATGAGGTGAAACCCCAGAATTATTTTGATTTCAATTTCTTTTGTCATGAGTGATATGGAGAAATTTTCGTGTGAATGTTAAGAGTTTACAGTTCTTCTTTTGAGAACTGTTATGTATATGAATAAGTTATATGTTATATGTACATGTTAGTTCTTTATATAGCTTGGATATCAGAGTTTCCTTGTTGCATTTTTTAGTGCAAAAGCTTTTATTCCATTTAGTGTAAATTATTTTCTATTTTGTGATTATCTCCCTTTTGAGGGGAGAGAGATATTACACCCCAGCCATAGTTGTAAGAGGTACCTGATCTAGTTTTCGTTTAATTATTTTTAATATTAGGATTAGGGACCCATTTTGAGCCTGTTATTGTATATGGTGTAAATTGTGGTTGTCTAACCCTTATTTCTTTCAAACTACTTTCCACCTTTCCCTGATTTTCTTATCAAATGGGGAGTTTTTATTTTCTTGGGTTTATGAAATAGTGAATTATTTAGTTAAATTGTTTCTGATTCTTCCTTATTTCTCTAATCTATTTCATTGATCTACTTTTCTAGGTTTTAATCAGTACCCAGTAGTTTTTGATGATTGTTGCTTTATCATGTACTTTGAGATTCCCATTACATTCCTAATGTTTTATTTCCCTTGACATTGTAGAAGTTTGGTTCCTCCAAATAAGTTTTGCTATTATTTTTCTAGCTATATAAAATATTTCCTTGGTGGCTTGATAAGTATAGTACTAAATCTATGAATCAATTTAGGTAATATCATCATTTTTATTATATTCATGTGGCTTGTAAAAGGAGAAATATCTACTGGTATCTCCTACCATGGGTAAGCTAGATTTTTTCCTTAAAAAAGTATTGAAACTGGCCTCAATATTTGATTGTTCAGGAGATTAAGATTCAAGTCTTTGATTTGTCTTCCTGGTCATTTAAGGGAGAAAAGGGCCCACCTACATGAAATCAAAACCCATGTAACTAGGGAGGTTGACCAAAGCAGCCCAAGTCACTAGACCCTACCTC